GACAATAAAAAAAAAATCCTTAAGAATTTGGGGGTATATCTGTTTCTCTTTATTCTGTTCCGGCTGTGTTGCTTATTGGTAGTTACTTGGGAAGAAAAAAAAGTCATTTTCATCACTATTCTATATGCTATCATCCAATACAAATTATAGAAAGACACATTTGTGAGTTATTATTTTGCACATATTTGATTAATGACCCCTACACTGGAGGTCCTGGGTTAGGTACTAAACACCAATCAAATGTGCTAACATAATCAAATCAAAAGGAAGTTGAACACAGCCCGTAATAATATAATCTCATAATCTGGGGAAGGAATAATAATCAAATAATCTCATGTCTGATAAGAGTAATAATCTAATGTCTGACAATTTTATATTCCGTAGAATCCAGGAAAAGTCTCCCAGCACAGGGGTTTGGGGGCTAAGATTGTGCCAAGGGCCATGAGACTCAAGAGGCCTGTGATATATAGTCTTTACTAAAGCAGTTATGTCAAATTATCTATGTTCACAAGCAAATTGCAGAACCATAACTTGTACTTCCAACTTTTTGTTAATAACAAAGCAAAGGAACTGACCCGCAGATTTGGGGGTCTGTATTCTTCTGACAGTCATATTTCTCATTGTAGTGTACTGGCATTTTGGTTGTGTCCCTTGTGAGTTTGCTTAGTGTGAACCACACACTAATCACTCTTAGTAGATTGATAAAATTAATTTTCCAACCTTGAAAAGCTGAACACCAAGGGAATGACAGCTCTGCTGAGAAATAAAATCACTATAATACCCTTTCATTAGGATTATTTCATCTCATCTCTATGTATGTATGCAGTGTGGATTATTAGAAAGAGATGCCTAGGCCTAAAGACAAAACCTGGGTTCTACTGTCACCCCTCATTTATTAGCTGTGTGATCTCTGGCTGATAGGTCTCAAATACCCTTACATTAAAAAAAGAGGGGGCGGAATTAAAGTTAACTCCCCATCAACGCAACAAAGTCCTTATTAACATAAAATAAACAATGAATAAGAAAAGGCTTTGAAAACCAGAAAACACTACGATATGAGATATTATTACTGCCTCACTGTTCTGCAAACAATCTATGCCAAAAAGTCCATTAGTGAAAGCATCATAATAATTTCCAAAGACATGAGAAAAAAAAATCAATATTACAATGAAGAAAAGCTAAATTTCCACACCTTCCATTGTGCTTCTCATACTAACAATTTCTTCCTACAGATCTGGAGAAATAAAATTTGACCTTGCTCACTATTATCACAACTCTCCTTATTTTCAAAGGCTTCCAGAATAAATCTAGTTCAAATGTGGTTGTATCTGACATATAGTTATATAGATAATGAAATGAGGTCAGAAAAGAGTTTCTAATTAAATAAAGATATAAATTGAAGAAAAGAGAAGAATAATTTCAAACTAAAAAGTGGCATTATTGGGCATTATTAGGTTAATGTGCCCCAAAAGAAGGTTTGATCTTAAATATTTTTAATCCTCTAGATAACATACGGATATAGGCCTCTCTTTGCTCAACTGGTGAAAGTTGATTTAACTGATTAATTGGCAGAAGTTATGCTTTCTTAGTTCTCAACTGACTGATTTATGGAAACACGCAGAAATGTATTTTGTACCTTGTACCTTAGGCTGTTTCTTCACTTTGGGAAGAAAGAGGAAGTAGATTTCTATTTCAGTTGTAGTCAGGTATCCTTCCTATGTGCTCCCATATCAGCTGTACAATGAATTGTAACCATCTGTTTACTTGTGCTTCCCCCTCCAGACTAAAAACTTAAGGAGGGAAGAGAACATGTCCGGGCCATTTTTTTTTAACCTCTAGCTATTGACCCAGTAACTGGAACACAGAAGGTACTCATTAAATGCTGACTGAAAAAATTAAGGAATAAACTGAAGACATAATGTTAGATTGACTTTTCTTTAAAGTCCAATGTGTTCCTTTGGATTATATTAAAATTTAGTCTTTGGATTTTAGTAATATTGCAACATACATTCTGAGTAATAGATTTATGCAAGTTGAAGCAGCTGAATACTGAAATTAGTAAATTAAACAGATTGAATTGCTTAAATTATATGTAGAGAAGATGAATATATACATTTATTAATATAATTCATTTATGCTTTCACTGGAAACATTTCTGGAGAATCTACTACATTCTAATTACCATGCCTGGGAGCTGGGAATGGAAAGGCAGGCAGGCTTCGGGATCTCAGGGAGATAAACACTTGGTGAGCCAGAGAATCAAGTAAATATTCTGACAGAGGTGTGTGCTAGGACCATGGGATCACTGCGGAGGGCAGTGAGGTACAGGGACCGCTGGAGGGGAGGGCTTATACAGAAGGCTTCAGGGAGAGTTGATGCTTGACCTGAGGTTTGACGTAACAGTAAGAGTTAACTCACAACAAAGAAACAGGAATTTCAGGCAGCGAGATGAGGTACCCAGAGCACTGCTGACAGAGGGAAGGCCATATGCAGAGTGGCAGAAGGTGAGGAACAGATACAGAGAAAGAGAAGAGACACCACAGATTGTGGAGGGTCCTATGGGCCAAGGATTTCTCAGGAATCTTCATTGAAGAAGGAGCTGTATTGGATTCACTCCTCAAGGGGCTCAGAGTCTACTTGAAAGAGATTAAGAATAATAGCCAAAAGAAGGTCCAGTTTAAAAAAACAAAACAACAAAAAAGGACTCAGCCGTTAAAAAAAAAAAAAAAGGAATCTTGCCATTTGCAAACAACGTGGATAGACCTAGAAGATACTGTGCTAAGTGAACTAAGTCACACAGAGAAAGACAGATACCATATAATTTCACTTATATGTGAAATCTAAAAAGCAGAACAAATAAAAAACAACAGCAAAAAAACACAAATAGACTCATAGGTACAGGGACTATACTGGTGGTTGCCAGAGGGGAGGGGAGTGGGGAGATGGGTGAAATAAGTGAAAGGAATTAAGAGGTATGAACTTCCAGTTATAAAGTAAATCAGTCATAGAGATGAAGAGTTCCACATAAGGAATATAGTCAATAAATTGTAATAACTGAGTATGGCAACAGATGAGAACTACACGTATCATGATGAGCATTTTGTTACGTATATAACTGTTGAAGCACTATGTTGTATACCTGAAGTGAATATAACATTGTATGTCAACCATACTTCAATTAAAAATAAAAAAATAACTAAAAAATGGAATTTTAGATCCTCAAATAGATGAAGTGATGAAAAAAACGCAAAGACACTTTTAATTCAAGATAATTAGCAATCTGAACTTTATGATCCAGATTTCAGATAAAATCACATCTCAGGGCACCTGGCTAGCTCAGTCAATAGAGCATGTGACTCCTGATTTGCAGTTTGAGCCCCATGTTGAGTGTAGAGGCTACTTCAAAATAAAACCTTAAAAAAAAAAATCACATCTCTTAAAGGATAAGAGAAAAATTAGGTTTGACTTTGAGCAGTAAATTTTTTGATTTTGGAAAATAATTTTTTTTTTTTTTTTGCTTAAAAAATGTTTCTCTCTCTCTCTAGAGACTACATCTCCAAAAATATTTATCCCTGTTGTTGAAACACCCATCTTCTCTTAGAATGAGTCAACAGTATTTACAAAATGATCATTCAGCAGACCACCATTGCTGGGAGGCAAAAAGTCCCAGAATGAAGAGTCCAGGCCGGCTCCAGCCATCCTGGACATTTGCAGGAAGAGCTCACCAGCAGTCCAATTGATGGAGTGTATATGCAAAATTAGTGTGGTATTTAAAAATATGGCACATATTGAAACTGCAACTTGATTTTGGATTGCTTATTTTTATGTGATAAAGACATCAGTATCTATTTAAAGGAAGGAGTACTTAAGTGCCTGTTTTACTGATGTAATAAAGTTACTTTTTCACTGTTAGTGACTAATGGAATGTAAGTTATTTTCAGGGAAAAATAAAACAGTCAAACATTAATCTGCATTTCAGTAAAGAATGACAGTATGCAGGCACATCTATGGCAAGTTAGACAATCTCTTCCAAATACTGGAAAATTCAAGTCACTTTATACAAAGGAGATTATAGAAAGAAACATGAATGAAAATGGGAAATCCAGCTAAATACTACTACCTCTAGTTCACTGCATAAACATGAATTTGGTTCTAAATGTTGTCTCCTGGGAACCTGAGAAACCACAGGCTATATCATTTGACTGTAACCTAACAATATTATTTGCTTATAAGCATTTAATTTTTCTTCTCTAAGAGAAAAAAAGCAAGACATCACCTTTGAAAGGTTTTTTTTCTTTTTCCCTATAACTATTTGTCAAAGAGAATGACAAATATAATAAACAAAATGACCAGGCATAAACAAGTGAAGGTTGGAAATAAAGGAAAAATTCTGGAAGCATATTCATTATGTTTACTATAACATCAGCCTTCTAACGATTCAATTTCTCAGCCTGTCCAATGTGTAGGCCAAAGGCAGTCACAAGGACAGCGTCATCAAAACATAGTGAATTAATCATAAACTCTAAACAATATCATATGTCAGATAATCATAGTTAATTAATGGAGATTTAATTATGGCATTTTTCCCTCTTTGGACTAACTCTTCTTCTCTTTTTTCTTTTATGTTCCATTTTATTATAGTCAGCATCATGCTGCTATTCCTGCAAGTACTGAACAAGTATGGGATTTGAATATTACACTCCTAAATAAATGAATTGCTCAATTTCCTGTAACCATCTATACATACTCCATCTTCAAAAAGTGTATCAGTATTCTATCATAAAGGAGATAGTGATCTTTTTTCCAACATGCATGACATTTCTGGACAAGACAATTGTGGCACCAGCACGTGTTTCCATGAAGAAAAACTCTGCAGTTTTACAGCATTCATCATTTGACAAATGCAACTATTTTCCTTATCAATCAAGTCTTACTTAACTTCCTAGCAGTGACTGTGGAATCCTTGAGGGCCCATTAAATTTCTGAAGAAGAAAGCTAAGATGAAGGACATGCCACTCCGAATTCATGTGCTACTTGGCCTAGCTATCACTACACTAGTACAAGCTGTAGATAAAAAAGTGGATTGCCCACAATTATGTACATGTGAAATCAGGCCTTGGTTTACACCCAGATCCATTTATATGGAAGCATCTACAGTGGACTGCAATGATTTAGGTCTTTTAAATTTCCCAGCCAGATTGCCTGCTGACACACAGATTCTGCTCCTACAGACTAACAATATTGCAAAAATTGAATACTCCATAGACTTTCCAGTAAACCTCACCGGCCTGGACTTATCTCAAAACAATTTATCTTCAGTCACCAATATTAATGTAAAAAAGATGCCTCAGCTTCTTTCTGTGTATTTAGAGGAAAACAAACTAACTGAGCTGCCTGAAAAATGTCTGTCTGGACTGAGCAACTTACAAGAACTCTATATTAATCACAACTTGCTTTCTACAATTTCACCCGGAGCCTTTATTGGCCTCCATAATCTTCTTCGACTTCATCTCAATTCAAATAGATTGCAGATGATCAACAGTAAGTGGTTTGATGCTCTTCCCAATCTGGAGATCCTGATGATTGGGGAAAATCCAATCATCAGAATCAAAGACATGAACTTTAAGCCGCTTATCAATCTTCGCAGCCTGGTTATAGCTGGTATAAACCTGACGGAAATACCAGATAATGCCTTGGCTGGACTTGAAAACTTAGAAAGCATCTCTTTTTATGACAACAGGCTTATTAAAGTGCCCCATGTTGCTCTCCAGAAAGCTATAAACCTCAAATTCTTGGATCTAAATAAAAATCCCATTAATAGAATACGGAGGGGTGATTTCAGCAATATGCTACACTTAAAAGAGTTGGGAATAAATAATATGCCTGAGCTGATTTCCATCGACAATCTTGCTGTGGATAACCTGCCAGATTTAAGAAAAATAGAAGCTACAAACAACCCACGGTTGTCTTACATTCACCCAAATGCATTTTTCAGGCTACCCAAGCTGGAATCACTGATGCTCAACAGCAACGCCCTTAGTGCCCTCTACCATGGTACAGTTGAGTCTCTGCCAAACCTCAAGGAGATCAGCATACACAGCAATCCCATCAGGTGTGACTGTGTCATCCGTTGGATTAATATGAACAAAACTAACATTCGATTCATGGAACCAGACTCACTATTCTGCGTGGACCCACCTGAATTCCAAGGCCAAAATGTTCGGCAGGTGCATTTCAGGGAAATGATGGAAATCTGTCTCCCTCTTATAGCTCCTGAGAGCTTCCCTTCTAATCTGGATTTAGAATCTGGGAGCTATGTTTCCTTGCATTGCAGAGCTACTGCAGAGCCACAGCCTGAAATCTACTGGGTAACACCTTCTGGTCAAAAACTCTTACCTAATACTCTGAAAGACAAGTTCTATGTCCATTCTGAAGGCACACTAGATATAAACGACATAACTCCAACAGAAGGGGGTCTATATACTTGTATAGCAACTAACCTGGTTGGTGCTGACTTGAAGTCTGTTATGATCAAAGTAGATGGTTCTTTTCCCCAGGATAACAACGAATCCTTAAATATTAAAATAAAAGATGTTCAGGCCAATTCAGTTCTAGTGTCTTGGAAAGCAAGTTCTAAAATTCTCAAATCCAGTGTTAAGTGGACCGCCTTTGTCAAGACTGAACATTCCCATGCTGCCCAGAGTGCCCGAATACCATCTGATATCAAGGTATATAATCTTACTCATCTGAACCCATCAACTGAGTACAGAATTTGTATTGATATCCCCACCATCTATCAAAAAACCAGAAAACAATGTGTAAATGTCACCACAAAAGGTATGAACCCTGATCGAAAAGAATATGAAAAGAGTAACACCACAACCTTTATGGCCTGCCTTGGAGGCTTTCTGGGGATTATTGGTGTGATATGTCTTTTCAGTTGCCTCTCACAAGAAATGAATTGTGATGGTGGACATGGCTATATGAGGAATTACGTACAGAAACCAACCTTCACATTCAGTGAGCTTTATCCTCCTCTTATCAACCTCTGGGAAACAGGCAAAGAAAAAAGTACAGCACTGGAAGTGAAAGCAACTGTTATAGGTGTGCCAACAAATATGTCCTAAAAACAACTAACTAAACCTACTTCAAAGAAAAACTAAGACTGCAGCTGTGCTTGAAAAATTAAAAAAAGAAAAAAAAGCAGAGAAATATGGCTTTCTAGAAAGAAGTTTAAGCTTCACCAATGCTGCTCCAGACCAAGGGAAATATGTACAAGTTCAGCATTTTAATTAACTGGCTTCAAAGGATACTGTGGCAACCAAATAAAATAATTCCATTTTCTAGAACTTTCATGTAACTTTTATGTCTGGACTACAGTTAAAGTGGACAAAACATTTCTGTATTTTTTTTAAGTATATAAGAGTAGTTGAACTGAGCAATACCTCCTCCTGTGTTGTATTACACATATTAGCCACGAGTTTTTGCAGTGACTAGGTAACTTGAATTGACACGTGGTGTAATAAAATGGACAAATTCTGTAGAGTAGACACAGTGAGTATGTGGGCCTCTTTTATAAGAAAAAAATACATTTTGGATTAAAATCAATTGCTTTTGTCTTGTTTTTGTTTCTAAATAAAGAATAATTTCTGGGAAATGTCATCTGATCAGGTATCATTTAAATGATATTTTTTAAAAGTGTTTTTCCATAATGAAATTTTGAATGCTAAGGCACTTTTTGGGTTCTGTAATTATATTTTTATAAAGCACAAAAATGAATTTAGAGCACTTTATCTGTACTGAAAGGCAATAACAACACTCTATTTAACCCTTTATTGACCAAAACAAATCCTCAAGGATATCATGCATTCAGTTAAATATTTTCTTAACAAGCAGGTTTTAGAGTAGGTTTAATTGGTAAGTTCACATAATGTAAATCCAATATCTGAGGAACTGGAAGTTTCATTTTAATAATTAGTAGTAGCTCAAATGTAAGCTGCTTGCTTTGCAGAAAATATTGCCAATTTTTGGTAGGATTTATGATTTAGGTCTACTTTTCAAATCTCTGATTCTGAACACCTGATGTGCTTCACTGCAGTAATAAGCAAATAATCTAATAATTTTCTGTGTTGCAAATCTAACAACTAAACATGTTTCACATGGACCCAAAAGAGAGAGGTTTTTATACTTATATAGCAACTAACCTAGTTGTGCTGACTTGAAGTCTGTTCTGATCAGACTGAATGATTCTTTTCCCCAGGATGACAACGAATTTTAGATTTTAGAAGACTAGGATTTTCCAAGATTAGAATTTTAAAATTTTACTTTAAGCATATGGGATTATTAGTAGAATAAGTTTATCAGGTTCAATTTTATAAAATTTTGCCTTTTATTTGGCTCACCCCCATATAAAAATGACATAAATCAGATAATTCCAGAGTTTAATAAAAATTTGAGAACAAAGTTTTGATAATACAAGAAAAAGCTTCTAAGACTAATTTAGAGGAAAAGAGGGGCATCTGGGTGGCACAATCAACTGGACATCCGATTCTTCGTTTTGGCTCAAGTCATGAACTCAGGGTTGTGATATCAAGCCCCACATCGACTGTAAACTCAGTACAGAGTCTGCTTAAGTTTCTCTCTCCCTCTCCCCTCCTCACCACACACATGTTCTCTCCCTCCCTCCCCTCTTCCTCTGTCTCTCTCCCCCTCAAAAAATAAACTTTTTTAAAAAGAAAAGAAAAATATTAAGTGTAGTTCTCTATGACTATATTTAAAACACCTAAAAAACACAGCTTAAAACATGAGGATCACTGAAGTGACAAAAACATTACTAAATAAAGAATCTAAAATAGGAAATATAAAGATTTCACTTGGAGAAAATAACTAAAATTTTTTAGGGTTTTAAGTCATATTTCCAAACAAAAACCTACAGTCCTGCAAAATAAATATATTTGTGAACAAAAAAAAAAAAAATCCTGAGATAATAAAAAATCATCTAAGATAATAAGCCATACTTTTTATAGGCAAATCACTTATCTCTACAAAGCTATAAGGCTTCTATGTTAATTGTTGTTGTGCCTGCTCATAATCAAGTGTTTAACTTTTCTTACAATAACTTGCTGCATGTTATCAACATGTCACTGGCCTGTAAACATTTCCAGCACTGTAGTCATACCAATTTATTTGTTAATGTAGACATTTGCTTTTATGGTAGCTTTGACAGCTTCTAATTAAATCCTGCTGTTTTTGACAATCTGGAAGGTAATTGTTATGAACTCTTTAAAACAAAAGGACAAACTGTGTTAATTTTAACACATCCAAAATATCAAACTTGCTAATTCAGTGTGTTTCCCAAATGAAAATTATATACCCTGATGAATCACTATCACCCAGAGGCTGACATTAGAATTTATCAATAAGACATGCTCATACATCATGAGATGTTTCAGCACCCTGGACAGAGCTTTTTAAAGCCGGGCTATTTGTCAAAAATATAGGAGCTGAAATATGACCTATTAGGAGGCAGGTATTGATAGGTCAGCAAAAACTTGCTCAGGTATCTTGTATGTTTCTTTTGAACCTACCTGCCTGAAGGACTATAACAAACAGCGTAGAGCTTAAAATGCATTTCAAGCTATATTTTTCTCAGAAAAATTGTAGCAAATAAGCACTCTGAACAGTCGCCTAACAGTGGACACTGAAATGAAGTATTTTTGTTACAGCCAAATAAATACAGACGCTCAAAGCAAATCATGATCCTATTTACTTGCTTAAAATTTCATCTAAATTGCCAGTGAGAGCAAAAAGACGTTTGCTTCAATAATAAGAATGTATTTCATATTCCCTATGTTATATTCTAAGCCTCACATAAAATTAAGCACTAGTCCAAGTACTCAAACATATAACCTACAATTTGGTGATACCATACAGCTGCAATGGCAAACTTTACCTATAAAAAAATAAAACTCTAAAGTTTTACCACTGTGAATGTGACAGATTCACAATCTTCTCACCTTGTATGGAGAAAACATTTTTCGCAAAAATGATTTTAAAGGAATTATATATCTTCTAATTTATACTATATAATAAAATTCAAATTTTCTGAAAATAAGCATGTCTAGTTGAATACAAATAATGTATAAAAAAGCAAAATGTGTCATTGTCAGCAAAGCCAACCAACAACACGCTGCCAGTCATGTGCTATTTTGCCTAGGAAAGAAATGAAATCCATTTATGGTACATATATCTATCTTTTGATACTTGTTTCCATTCTTAAAATTTAATTCTAATTAGATAAAAAGTTTTTAAGCAAAATTACATATCAGAAAGCATAAGTTTAAAATTATCATTCTTTAATCTATTTACTTAACTGTACTTTCTTTGGTTACTTCCAATAAATATTTACTGCATGGCTATTATTCACTGGAAAAACAGAAGTGAACAGGACAAATTTTTCACCATTAAAGGGCTTATATTCTACTGGATTACATGCTGGTTATGTATCGCTGCTTTCACAAGTATGTGTTAATGATGTTGTCTAGAGGATTCTTCCTAGTGTCAATACATACTTTTAAAGAATGATAACACTCAAAAAAAAATCACAGTTTTTTTTAAATCTAAAAGGGTTTTACTTATATTGATATAAGAACTTAATTCAAATTTATTATGGATTTTAACACACACACACATACGCTCACACACAAATACCAGCCTAATACTATCCTTAAACTGGTTAAGTCAAGAGGCATGTCTACTTACTATGAAGGAAAACCTTAAAATTTCATAGATTTAGCCTTTCATATGAAAAATCAGGAGTGATATGTGAGTAACAAATAAAGCCAATAATAAAAAACTAAAAGTTTAAAAAGATATGTTTGCTAAAGAAAGGGAGAACTGCAATGAAATATCCTCACAGCCATTGTCAAGTATCAGAAAAAAAAAAAATCCTCATTGTATATGTCACTATTAAACAACATCTTCAGGATTATCCCAGTGTTGGCAGTCTAGGAGATAGTTAATAGTGAGTAGTGATTAAACTGTGGCTACATTTTCTTTGATCCAATCTCAATCTCTCCCACTCTCTCTCTCTCCCTCTCCCCCCTCCTTCCCATAACGAATTATAACAAATAAGTAAAAGTTTTTTTAAAGCATATACTTGCCAGATATGATTACTATATTAACAACCCAAAGGGTCATTAACTACAATGATCTTCTTCTCTACCACCTTATCAGATGATAATATTCTCACTCTTAGTTCTACAACTGTACGCTCTATCATTTTACCCTGACTGATGCATTGCTAACTAAGTCATTGCTTGGGATCATGTCAATATTGTAGTGGAATGAAAGAACCATGCCTAGAATCAAGATGTTATAATCAGCACCATGGAGCTCAGGAAAAAGAAAGAAACTAATTGGGCTTTCAACACAATAGTGGCTGCTTTTGTGTGTTCATTTGTAAAATGAGGACTCTATCTGTTATTAAGGGTGACCACTACTTTGATTTACCTTATTCCTCTGAAGCAAGGGAAAAATAAAAACACTATTTGTTCATAGGAATAAAGTAAAAAAATCAGAGTTCATTCTGAAAGTCATAACACACATATTCAACCCTAAGAAAAGTAATTTAAAGATAAATGTTTCAAAAAGATTATTCCAGTGAAATATAGATTATTTCCCAAATCTGGCTTAAATATTTTATTAATAACATCACAGACCTGCTCTTGAATTGACTAGTAAACATTCAGCATGCTCAGGTAAGAAGATCATATGAAATGGAACACAATTCCTTTTTATTCCTAGTGAAAACAGACAAGTCCACAGAGATTTGAATTTACTACTCTGGTTCAGTTTACATGCACATCAGAGGGCTCCTAAAGCTATGTTTGAAATAAGCCATATAGTTAATACCAACTAAGGGGTTAGATACATCAAAGATATATCAATACAACTTTCTCCTAAGAGTGAACTGAGGTATTCAAATAGGTAATACATTCAGAGCAAATTTCATATATGATTTCAAAATTATTGTCGAGTGGCTCAAAGTAACAAAGCATAGCACAGAGAGTTATGGTTGACCTTGGCAAGTCTTTCACGAGAATGAACTATAATAGAATTCAAAGAC